ATATGGCAATACTTTCCTATAACAAAATAGACCTGCAGAAAGAAATGACTAATAAAATATCTTACATATGCATCGTTGTATGCTTTATATTGAGATTTTCCTTAGCTTTGATTGTAATTTCACAATTTTGTAATTTATCATTGTTTATTAAATTCTGAAAACTGAGTGGCTTTGTTAATATTTTGTTCTAGAAGGCGGTTAGATGTGCCCTTTTTTTGAACACCTGGCCCTTTAGTGGTCTCTGTACGGCCCTGAATCTGATATATCACTCCAGTTACTTTTTACTGGTTTTGTTTTTAAACCACCATTAACATAAGCAGTGTAACTATATATTGTATATTTGACGTTTGTCATGTGTGATTAATTGGAGCGTAATGGTGGAGCATTTATGCGCATTTATTGATCAGCACACCGCTTGTTTCCGTCTAACGGACATCTGCACTTTAATTTCTTTCCTCCCTCAACAGTCAGCTGCTATTCCTCTATTTAAACTACAATAAGTAGATCAACACAACTTGATCACACATTCTCTTCATTAAATACATACTCATTAGAAGCCTGAGCCACAATCAGGCAAATAATTCCGGACTATTTTTACCCCTCAAATTATAATTATGTTAACATAGCCGCATTTTTATGCGGTTTAGTTCATTTTCACCTAATTGAATCCAGATCACATCCCACATAAAGCAGATGAATTTATTGAACTTTCTCTCCTAGTGACTCAAACCACTGACTGTGGTCCCAATAACTTATAATAAATTAAATTAAGCGACTCCACTTAAATTACCAGAACTTCACCTACTGGGGTCTGAACGCACAGCCTCACAAATTCTTCCTGGTCGCATCTGCAGAGAAATCTGCGCTGGTTCATCGACAGTTGGATCTGTCTGATCCAAACCAAACAATTGAACTCTGCGAGTTTTTTACCCTGTGTGCGGCTTGGGCGTGCGTTTTTTCCAAGGATTTTTATTTTATTTTATTATAATTTTTTTTAACGTGGTTTCGGTTCTCCAAAACGGACAGATGTTACACCTGCTGTGCTCCTCCTGAGCACTGCTCTCCTTCTGGGTGCGGGAGGGTAACATCTTCACCTCCATTTGTTAAAACCTCAGGGTGAGTTAAATTTAATTCTTCGCAGCAGCGGAGCCGCGTCCACATGATGGATGGAAGAGATGCTTTGAATTTCGTCCTCGTCTCTGCTCTTTGGTCCTGCTCTGCAACATGAAGCCTCCCATTGAAATCCTCTGGGATTTGGAGTCACAACTGTGACACGTATTATTTGGAATGCTGCTCCTAGATGTAAAAACAATACCTTGTTGACTTGGTTATGAATCATAATTGCACAGCATCTAAAACCAGAGGGAATAACTGACCAAACATGCAGTGGCTTAACCAAAAATGTATTAACTAAAGTCTAGAAAACCAACAAATCAAAACTAATATCAGATCAGAATATCAGATCCAACATGTTGCAACCACGAATGGCGACATTCTAGTAAATATAAACTACTTTCTGCAGTTTGTCACAGAAGTCTTCAGACGTTTTTGATTAAGTGAAAGAATGGGGAAAGGTCTAGGGGGTATGGCTGTGTCTCATTAGAGGGACACATGGAGTTGTGCAGTCTCTCTACAGGGCTGGAAGCTGTTTCCCTCCACCTATAGTCTGAATGTGACAATTAGTCAGATGTGTCCCGTTAATATTAAGTCATGCCATTGACAATAAGTGTTAGTTAATCAAGAATAATATATAGTATGTACTATACTTAGAGAAGTGTAAAGAGATTTGGGTAACACTTTATTTGAAGGGGTGTGCATAAGACTGACATGTCACTGTCATAAATATGACATAACTGTCAGGGTTCCTGTGTGTGTGTGAGTGATCCATCTGTTCCAGCGAAGATCTTGGTGAAGAACCTGGGCAGCCTACACAGGTGGATCTCATCTGCCTCATCAGTGTTGGGGATAAAGGAGCAGCAGAACATTCGCTCAGTGCTGGATGATTAACGTGCACCGGTAGTCTCTCTAGCCATCTCTTGTGGTTTACAGTACTAGTTGTTTTGATCTGTCTCTTCAGTAATTTACCAGTGGTTTCATAGTCCCTGTGTTTGCCTGCCTTTAGGTCAGTCTCTGGAGTTTCAACTGGATCAAGTTCCATTGTTTTCTCCTCCTGAGGATTTTACCTCCAAGTCTGCCTGCCCGCTGCTCCCTCCACACCTCTCCATCAATTCTCCGGCTCCCAGTCAATACCATCCTCACTCTTCTCAGGAACCTCCGTGAACCATTTTCCACACTGGACCTTGGCACATTCCCCCATGCCTCAACCAGAATCATTCTAAAGTAAGCCGTTTCATATTGCATCGCTGATCATCTAATTTTGGACCACCAGTAACCCCGCTCTCATTCCAGGCACCTCCGATTGCACGACACTATCGCCCCCAGAAGGATTAAGAAGAATTGCCTTTAAGTTGTCTGTCTTTAAGAAAATAAAATCCTTACATTTACTTAGGCTTGTTGATTTTGCATGTGGGTCAGAAGGTTAAAGCCGAACATGGCAGAATCATCCAGCCAAGTTGACCCAGCAGAATCTACTCCTGACCCCAATTTAGATCATGCTGTACTGGTCCGTCATGACTCAATGCTGCACTCTTTATACGATCAACAAACGAATACTAACCAGCGTTTAGATCAATTTGCAGGAATGCTTAAGGAGCTTCACCAAAAGCTTGTTTCTGCTAGTCCTCCTCCCGCTGTAGGGCCACCTCCTGCCGCAGATCCACTCCCTCCTCAGGCCAGCGCTTCCGCCAGTCCTGCACAAAGTCCTCCAGCGTCCGTTCGTCTCAGAGAGGTCTCCCCACCCACACCTGAGCCCTATTCTGGTGAGATAGGTAAATGTGGGGGGTTTTTATTGCAATGCTCTTTAGTTTTTTCTTTTTCACCCCAAAGCTTTCAAACGGATGCTGCAAAGATATCGTACGTTATTGGTTTGTTAAGGGGAAGAGCGCTAAAATGGGCGGAGGCTAATTTTGGACAGCAAGTTGTTTTTCAGGGAACTTATGACTTGTTTGTGTCCACATTTAAACAGGCATTTGGGTATACTGAATCACCCGCAAGCTGTGGAATTTAAAGCAGGGTCGTCAAGCTGTAGCAGATTTTGCTATTGACTTTAGAACCCTGGCAGCCTCTTCTGGTTGGAACACAGAGGCATTAAAGGGAACTTTTCTACAAGCTCTGAACGAGAACATTAAAGATGAACTGGCTTACAGAGATGAGCCAGGTTCATTAGAGGATCTAATTTCTATGGCTATCAGGATTGACAATAGGGTCAGAGACAGGACCCGTTCTAAGAGAGAACTGAGCATATGCTCAAACAGAGTGGAATTCAATATTGCCCCCACAGATCAATCCCCTGAGGAACCTATGCAAATGGGAAGAACCAGACTAACTCCCGAAGAACGACAGCATTGCATGAGGTCTGGCACCTGCCTTTACTGTGGTCAAACAGGGCCAAAAGACAAAGCCCATCATTAGCTACGGGAGAAGTGGTGGGCAACTCAAAGAAAACCTCCCGTTTAACTCTACCATGTTCACTGATTACAAGTAATCAGTCCTTTCAGACATTTGTTTTAATAGATTCTGGTTGTGAACAGAACCTTATTGATGATAACCTTGTAAATCAACTCCAGATACCCACTGTTCCTCTTCTAGCCCCAGTCTTGGTTTCTGCACTTAATGGTAAAGCCTTACCTGTCATTACTCATTGCAGAATTCCCATTGAGCTTTTGGTTTCAGGAAATTATCGTGAGGTAATCACCTTTTTTGTATTCCCTTCTCCTCAGTCTCCAGTGGTTCTAGGCTATCCATGGCTTCTCTGCCATAATCCACACCTTGATTGGAGGAACTGCCGGGTCCACAGGGGTGCAATTTGTCATCAATGGAAGAAATCTGTGACAGAACTGCCCCTACCCCTGAATCAGAGGCATCCACTTCAACAATAAACTGTCTTAATGGGTCTGGTTGAATGAGGATGGGTACATTGGCAAACCTCCTCTTCAAATCTATGAAACTTTGTTCAGCTTCAGGTGACCAACTGAAACTAGCCTTGTCCTGGAGCACATACTGTCTGTCATCGTGTCTTCACTCTGCTTTTCCCTCAGTTGTTTCTCATCCTGCAGATGAACCCTTTCCAGCTGACTTGGCCAGTGTACCATCTGAATACCATGACCTTCGCATGGTTTTCAGTAAGTCTAAAGCTCTCTCTCTTCCTCCTCACCGTCCACACCGTCCATACGATTGTGTCATTGACCTACTTCCAGGAGCACCACTACCTACCAGCCGTTTGTACAGCATATCCAAACCGGAGAGGGAGAGCATGGAGAAATACATCAGTGAGTCCCTTGCTGCTGGCATCATCCGTTCATCCACTTCACCTTTGGGAGCCGGGTTTTTCTTCGTTGGTAAGAAGGATGGAACACTCAGACCATGTATTGACTACAGAGCCTTAAACCAAATCACTGTAAAGAATAAATACCCACTGCCATTACTTGCCTCAGCTTTTGAACTCGTTCAGGGAGCCACCCTTTTTACTAAACTCGACCTCCGTAATGCTTACCACTTGATCAGAATCCGGGAGGGAGACGAGTGGAAAACAGCATTCAGGACACCTCTTGGCCATTTTGAGTATTTGGTTATGCCCTTTGGCCTCATGAATGCACCTGCAGTGTTCCAATCGCTAGTCAATGATGTCCTCAGGGACTATCTTAATCAGTTTGTCTTTGTTTATCTTGACGACATTCTCATTTTTTCAAGATCTTTAGAGGAACACAAGACACATGTCCGCCTGGTCCTCCAGCGCCTTTTGGAGAATCGGCTGTTCATCAAGGCGGAGAAATGTGAATTCCATGCCTCATCAGTAATATTCCTTGGTTACATTTTGGGGAGCGGGCAGGTGAAGACGGATCCAGCAAAGGTTCAAGCAGTCTTGGACTGGCCTACTCCCACGTCTCGCAAGCAGCTTCAACGTTTTCTGGGGTTTGCTAATTTCTACCGTCGTTTCATTAAAAACTATAGCCAAACTGTTCTTCCCCTTACCCGCCTCACTTCCACCAAGGCTAGTTTCAGTTGGTCACCTGAAGCTGAACAAAGTTTCATAGATTTGAAGAGGAGGTTTGCCAATGTACCCATCCTCATTCAACCAGACCCATTAAGACAGTTTATTGTTGAAGTGGATGCCTCTGATTCAGGGGTAGGGGCAGTTCTGTCACAGATTTCTTCCATTGATGACAAATTGCACCCCTGTGGATTCTTCTCCCATCGTCTTTCACCAGTGGAGCAAAACTATGATGTAGGTGATAGAGAACTCCTGGCAATAAAGATGGCTTTTGATGAATGGTGTCACTGGTTAGAGGGGGCTGAGCATCCCATTGTTGTCTGGACAGATCACAAGAATCTAGCCTACCTTCAACAGGCCAAGAGCTTAAATTCCAGACAGTCTCGCTGGTCCCTCTTTTTCTCCAGGTTCAATTTTACTATTTCTTATAGACCTGGATCCAAGAACACCAAGCCAGATGCACTTTCGAGACAGTTTTCCCCTGATCATGACATGCCTGAAACCACAATCATTCCACCATCAATTATTATCGGAACTCTTTCTTGGAAGGTTAGAGACCAGGTTCTGGCTGCTCAACAGACTGAACCACCCAACCGTCTGTACGTTCCTTCATCCGTTAGAGCTCGTCTCATTCATTGGGCCCATACTGCAAAATTTTCTTGTCATCCTGGCATTAACAGAACAGTCTCTCTAATCAGAGACTAGAGAGGCCATCTTTGTATAGAGATGTCAAGGACTATGTGCTTGCCTGTTCCATTTGTGCTCGCAATAAGACTCGCAATCAACCCCCCAGTGGGTTACTTCAACCTCTTCCAGTTCCCAATCGTCCGTGGTCGCATATAGCTTTAGACTTTGTTACGGGACTACCACCTTCAAGGGGTTTCACCACCATTCTCACAATCATTGACCGCTTCTCTAAGGCCTGCCATCTAGTTCCCTTATGTAAACTTCCCACTGCCATGCAAACTGCCCATCTTCTAACTAAACATGTGTTTCGTCTGCATGCCCACAACAGCCACACCTCAACAGCTACTGGCCTATCACCTTTTGAGTCCTCTCTTGGTTATCAGCCCCCTCTGTTTCCATCAGACGAGCAACAAATATCCGTCACCTCTGTCCACCATCACCTCCGCCGTTGCAGACACATCTGGACTCAGACCAATGCTGCTCTCAACCAGACAGCCGAGGGAAACCGCAGATGGGCTGATCGTAAGAGAACCCCTGCACCGTCGTATTCACCTGGACAAGAGGTCTGGTTATCCACTCGTGACATCAATATCAAAGCATCCAATCGTAAGCTTTCCCCTCGCTTTATTGGTCCCTTTGAAATAACCTCTGTTCTCAGTCCTTCAGCCGTACGCCTCAGGCTTCCTGATGGGTTAAAGATCCACCCAGTGTTTCATGTTTCTCTTATTAAACCAGCCCGTTCCAGTCCTTTCTGCCCTCCTTCCAGACCCCCACCACCCCCCCAGGAGATTGATGGTCACCCTGCTTATGACGTCACAAAGATTCTGGCTATTCGTCGCCGGGGAAGAGGGTTCCAGTATCTTGTGGATTGGCGGGGTTATGGACCAGAGGAACGGTCATGGGTTCCCCGTTCTTTCATCCTGGACCCTGATCTTATTAGAGATTTTGAAGCTTCGCATCAGTCATCTTCATGTGGACCGCCTGGAGGNCTGGAAACAAGGGAAGGATCAGCAAGACTGACTGAGTGGTGAGTACTTGGAGAGGTCAGGGTGGAGTGTTCAGGAGAAATGAGGATCTTACTAATGATGATGATGATGAAGAGTCCATGAGGGGAGGAGTCTTAGAACTGCCATAGCGAGTGAGATCTTGGGTATGATACAAGGAAAGCTACTGGATGGTGAAGACGTTGGAGGATGGACAGGATACGTAGAGTTTGAATTGAGGAAAAGGAGTGGAACTAAAGGAGTCTTTAGACTGTGAGGAGAAACCAGAGAGTCAACAGAGAGGAGACTGGTGACTTCAAGAGATCATCAAAAAGTAGCACAAAGACCAAACTATCGCAGCGACAAAAGAGGAGTCAGAATATCATGTTAGGTTGAAACTCAGGCACCGAAGGACTGGCAACTAGCTCCTCTTATCCTCGGGCTGATAAGCCAAGATAATTAGCAGGGGTGTGAGATTGATTGGCAGGTCCAACCTCCACAGCAGCTTCCTGGCTCCCTCTGGTGGAATATGTGAGAAACTGAAGACTCCACACAATGTCCAAACCCCAGCTCCATAAGAGGATATAGGATGACTTCAAGCAATAGAAGTAGCTACATAAGATCCTTCAGCATCTTTTGTTCCTTTTGCTGAGCGCATATGCACTTGTGTTCTACTCAACAAATACATTGTACAGTAAAGATTTTATAACTCTTTTTTTGGTTATTGTTAAATTTAAGCTGATGTATGGCCACTGTTTTTTTATAAAAAAAACTCATCTAGCGTGACTAACAACTTATGTGTATTTTCAAGAAGAAAATAGGAAATGGAGACAAAACACTCTCACCTTTTCCTGTTTGCCACAGAGAACAATATTCAGATCAGGCCCAGTGAGGTCATCAAGTCTTTGAGCAAAAGACAGTCTATGTCAAGTCTCTGGTCTTTCAACAAGTTTTTGGTTATTTATTACATTGAGTTGTTTCCAATTTGGTTGTTTGAGAAACCAGTGTGTAGAGTTATGGACATTATGAAACATCTGCATCAGATTACATATGGCTATTGATTTGAAACAAGTAAACATGATTTTCAAGCTGAGCCTGTAAAAAACCTCACACTTCTAAAGCAGCTGGTGGTTACATATACCACAAAAGATTACC